GGATTTGGGATGCCATCAAATTAGCTTCCCAGTTTTGTACAGCTAAACTAATAAATTATATTTCAGATAACGTTAATGTTTCTTGTGACTACAATATTATTTAAAATGCTGCTCTGCTTGCTGACGTACAAAAGTTGGGGTAAGATGGAAATAAACCATAAATAAGGACCAAAAGCAGTAAAACACTTTGAAGAAAAAGGACTAATGTCTTGACAATCTATAACTTTAAGCTACCTAAGTGAAATACTTTTAACAAATGATTAAAGATGAATTCTATATGCCTGCTGCTTATGTATTTGTAATGCACTCATTACTCTAGCAGCTGAGCACAAATACTGCACCTTTATAATGTACTATGATGGCCTCATGGCATTTTTCTCATACATTTTTTTTCCCCTGCTTGTTTTTCACATTAGAAATACGGGTCAAGACTTCCCTGTTGTTGCTCCTAGACCCTGTTGAGGAAACTGGAGTGGGATAACCTGAAATCTGAGCTGTAGCTTTCCCTGTACTCAGCTGATGGGAGAAGGGATGCTGAGTCTGAGGACTTGTCCACATACACAAGTTGTACTGGTGTAGTTAAAGTAGACACAGTTATATTCAGGTTCTGAGCATGTCACACAAGGTGGTGAGCACCCTCAACTCTCAATGAAAACAACAAATTGCAGGAGTTTAGTACTCAGCAGGATTGGGTCCTAATTTCCTTACTGATTAACATTAATCTGCTTCTTAAAATATTCTCATTTAAGAGACATTGCAATTTTAGAATGAAGGTTTTCCATTGAGAATCAGTGATGTTCCAAAAAATTACACTACCTACTTTTTGTTCCAGTTGGAGTAAGTCTCAAAGAAATACACGTATAGTGAGTGGCATTACTAAAGTAGTCCTGCGGAGTCTTCTTGATGGAAGCAGCCCCATATGTCAATGACCAGTGTACATGCATTTTTTTAAACTAAATCTGACAAATTCCTGTTTGCAAATCAACTGGATTATTTATAAATAAAAGTTGCAAGACTGGACTCTTAAACTAAAACAAAGGATGTATTTCCATTAATATCTACACTTCATCCAAGTTTAAAATTTTCATTAGCATAAACTTCCTAATAACAATTTATCTTTATAAACGACTTAGCACAAAATTATAATGTATTCATTTTTTCTGCTGTTATACATTTCTAAAGGCTTGCTTTAAGTTGAAATATGTGATATTTCACTTGTAAGATAAAAGGCATTTTTAATTAAAGGAAATGTAATGAAGAAATAAAATAATAGAACTAAACATGCAATATCTAGAAGCTAAGGTATAAGACATTCATCAGCAGGAATTTCCTACTTTCATACGCTGAATGTTTGTTGTTCTCTGCTAGACTCAGAAATGTTTAATGACTCTTAAACTTCATAATTCAAGTTACCTTGGGGAAACAGAGCCAATTAGTTATTTAATATTAATAAAAATTGATTACTATTCAATCTTCAAATTTAAAATTAATTCTGGTCCTGATTTTGCAAAGTAAGTATGTAAGTAGTCTTATTGACTTCAATGGGACTGCTCGCATGAGTAAGGGTTCGCAAGATCCAGCCCAATAACCTAACCATCACCAGATTCACTATTAAGGCCTCAAGCTATTATTTGATTTCATGACTATTCCACTTCAGAAAAAGGCATTTTGTAACAAAAATATTATATCCTCTTTGAAAACACCATGTAAGTTATTACAACCTATTTAAACCAGTGGAGCTCTGTATGGGCACAGAAGACCTATCTGCACACATCACAGTGCAGGATTGGGACCTAAAGTATGAGGGCCCAATCTTACATGATGAGCACTCAACTCCCTGTGACTTCAGTGGAAGTTGAAGGGTCTCTGTTTGTAACAAGAGCCCAATCCAATTTCCACTGAAGCTAATGGAATGATTTCCACTGATTTCAATGGGAGTTTGATCAGGCCCCGTGGAAGTAAAAGCGATGGTTAACACATTGAATGATAAACGGCCTAAATCTTTTTAATTTCTTGTTAATTAAATTCACTTATCTATAAACCAGTTGAATGATATTAGGGGAATATCTTTGTCTCTTTAACTTGCTTTATTATGTTCTGAAACACAATCTTTAAATGAAATTAAAGGTGTTTGTTTACTTAATATCTCTCAATATTTTGAACACCTGAGCCTTTAACTTCACTGCAGTCACTCTCTAATATAAAAAAGGAATGTTACTGTCATCCTTTTTTCCTCCACCTGTCAGCCTGACAAAGCTACCTGTTGATGTTTTTTTCACTTCACAGCTGATCAAACACCTTCATCATCACTGACTAATCATATCACATTTTTATTAATTTTTAAAGTAGTGTATTGTGAGCACTAACAATGACCTGAAAGCACTAGCAATGATCTGAAAGGGAACATCTGTCACTTGTCTTTGCACTTGTATCTGAGCCTCTTTCGGGGTCTTTATTCTTGCTAGTATTAAATAGAGTACGTCTCCTTTTGCTTTAATAATATGTAATGGTCACAAACGTGCCAGGCACAAGAAGATAAATTGCATTAACTCAGAACCACCCTGGTTAATCAAAAGAGAAGCCAGATCCTCAATTCTATTCTCATACAAAACCCTCAATGAATCCACAGAGACTGAATCTTCTGATGCCAAAGCTGATCTGAAGTAACTCCACTGAAGTCAATGAAAGTTGCACAGTGTAAACCTGATGTAAATAAGGGGAGAACAGGGCCCAAGACTCCACCCTCATCCCCATTAAGTATATATTGTGAATTTAAGCACTCAGAGAAGTGTATTAGTTATAAACTTTTAGTCTAACTACAATGAACAGAAGCCAGCCATAAGAAATAGAATGTAAAATAAATATTGATTGGTCAGTTAATAGAATATGCCTCAATTATTTTTCTCCATTTTCTGCCGTGAACAAATAAATCTATTAAAGTAACTGAGCTCTTTCAAGGAAAAGGGGCAAGATCAACTGAAATGCTCCAGTCCTTCATCCCTAGGAAACTCCATGCCACACCAGTGGTCCCCTCACCTCCTGCAAGGAAAGCACCTGGAGCTGTCCAGGGACTCCATAAACCCAGAGAGGATAGATGATATAGTGAGGGGCAGATCCTGGCACTAGCAAACTCCAGTACCGATATTATAGACACTTAGGACTACTGCGGGAATCTCCTGGCTGGCTACTTCTTGCTTTAATCTCTTCATGTTGCAACCATCTCATAGTCAGCCCACTGTCAATGATTGGGAAAGAAGGGCAGGCGGGGATGATGGTGATGTTTTAGAGGGGAGGGCTAGATCAGAAACAGAGGGGGAAAGGGAGCAAATAATGGGGAGGGAAAAGAAGAAAAATCTGATTTTATCAGATGTGTGCCAAAATTTGGCCTCAGTCACTTTGCTTTATGTGTTATATCCCTTTCTCTTAACCTCTGTCCTCTCTCTCTTTAGTTTGTAAAGTCTGGGGGGCAGAGACCTGTCTCAACTTATGCCTCTAAAGTGCCTACCACACCTTTGGGTCCTTGATGAATAATAAATAGTATCACTCAAAACTCAAAAAATTCATCCTGACAGGCCTGTATTTTAAAAAAACGCTCTGTTCTAATCTCCAGTCTTCTCCCTGCATGGTTCAGGAACAAGTGTCAATTTTTGTTTGTGTTTGCTTTTTATTATTCTAGGACAAGATTAGACATTGGGCAAATGTTTATCATCAAACAGTTAAAATATTTAAGTCCCTACTATGAAGACATATATTTCTCAATCCTATATAGCTCTCCATGACCTAATTGGGTGAGAGAGGCCTGTTTTACATGTAACAGAAAGGAAAAGTAAACAAAAAGAAGAGCAGGAAACCTGAAAGGATATGTGGTTCTTTGCTTTAAAAAGTGTGTGTGCGTAAGCTGATCTAAACTGAGAAAGCTCAGGGTGAAATCCTGGCCCTACCCATGTCAATGGGATTTGGGAGTTTTGCCATCACCTTCATAGAGGTCAGGATTTCATCCTGAGAGTGCAAAGTGAGTAATCTGAAGTGGTGGAGAAAGTCCTTGTAAGGGGAGATGGGAGTTGTTACCTTGTTCCCAGAAATAGGTTTGGAAATCTGTGCTGGTCCAGAGGGGCACATGCAAAGGCTTTTCAGAAATATTTTATCTTTAGATTGGTTTAGTAGTAGCCAGGAAGGGAAGTTTAACTCAGCAGTGATAGAGAATAAGGAAAATAATTTGCACTTTTTTATAGCACCTTTCATCAGAGGTTCTCAAAGTACTCTGCAAAGTGAATCAAGCCTTAAAACAACCCTGTGATGTGAAGTATGGAAATATAATAGTACTCATTTTACAGCCAGTTAACCTAGCCTTATCAGACATTCTGGATTTTGTGGATCTGTTCTAATTTTACTTGAGCAATCTCAGGTCTTGCAAATAATGCCTATGAGGGATTAATGGTTCCCGAAATCAGCTTCAGAAGCCCACAAGCCGTCATCATAATACAACATTATATCATGACACTGATGCAGTCTCACATTGTACTGCTGTAGTGATCTGTTAAGTGTTTGAATGCAAGGTGACTGTCACCCACCTTTTGAATTTTCCTCTTTGGTTGGGAAGCTAAGGTCCAGTGTGGTTAAGTGGCGTGCCCTAGCCAGGGCCTGGCAGAGCCACCACCCAGAGAACCCTGACATCTCACTACCTATCAATTTCACTAAGAGCTCAGTGTGCTGGATGGGGAATGGGATTTCTACCTAGTGTCAGGCTTAATCCTATGGTTACAAAAATTAATTCTTTCTAGGTCCGTCCCCCCCTCCAGCAATAATGGGGAAGTGTGGCTGCCCTGCCCTGCTCCCCCTTTGGAAAGTCACAGTGCTCCAGAAGCCAGGAAGCCTCACCCAGGTCCCCACAAACTGAGGGGCACATGGCAGGCAGCTGGACCTTGAGTCCCCACGGGTGGCCAGCACACGAGTTCCTGTGCCCAGAAATTCACAAGCCCTATGGCTGGCCCCAGTCCTACCTGGTAAGCGTCTGGGATGTTGACTGTCTCCCCGTGCTCCGCCACGTAGCCGATGATGCCCTTGCCCCAGGGCACCTGCACCTCATTGGAGTTCTCGGTGCTGCAGCAGGGCAGGAGTGGGGTGCCCGCGTGCACGTCAAAGAACTTGGACACCAGGCTCTTCTTGCCCGCCGCGGCTCCCTCCACCAAGAAGAGCGAGCTCCGGTCAGCCTCCACCATGAGGCAGACGAAGATGAGGATCTTGTAGCTGAGGCTGGTGAGGTCCAAGTCGTTGGAGATGTCCTTGACCAGCTCCAGGAAGAACTGGCGCTCGTTGTGTTCCTTGAGGTAGCGCTTGTAGTCCAGGGCAGTGGGCGGGTACTGGGGCAGGCTGACCCGGGACTCAAGCAGGGCACTGAGGATGTGGGCCGTGGTCGGGGGCAAGGAGCTGGCTTTCCTGAGCAGGGCCCTTCTCCGCATGCTGCTGAGGGGCTCCTGGGCTCGGGCGTGCACGTGCTCGTCGTAGGTCAGGTTGACGTGGATGGCCTTGGACCTGGCGAAGCTCTGCCTCAGCTCCTTCTGGGAGGCCCTTCGCTGCAGCCCGCCGGCGGCGCTGGCCTCCCCGGGGTCACTGCTGGCCCAGCTGCTGGCGGGGCCCAGACTGGGGCTGCCGCTGCTTCGCCGGGCTTCAAGGCCGCCGCCGGCGCTGCCTGTGCTGGCGCTGGGAGGCGCTGCGGCGAGCGACTTCCTCCTCTTCAGCCACTTCTCCACCAGCTCCGGGTGCCGGTCCAGGAAACTTTCCACCGCAGCGAAGTCCAGGCTGGCAGCCGACATGGTCCCCGGGCTCCAGCGCCGCCGCCTCCCAACACCAGCTCCGCTCCTAACTTGGGACCGCTCCCGAAACTGCCTCGAACTATTTCCGACCCCGATGAACCATGGCAGAAGGGAGAGGAGATCACCCGGCTTCCCAGCCCCCTCGGGCCGCAGGGAGCGGTCCCTCCCTCAGAGGTGGGGACGCTGCCCAGAAGTGAGGGAGCAACGTTGTCTGACTTTCCGCCCTTGTCCAGGCTGGCCCGCCTCCTCCTCTTTTATCGCCTCCTGCTCCTCCTCCACCTGGCCGCTCCTCCTCCACCTGGCCCCTGCTCTCTGCTCTCGCCTGGCCCGCGGTTCTCCTTGTCCTCCCCTACCCGCTCCCTGGTCTGGCGCTTGGTTCTGGGCCAGGTCCTCCTGCTCTCTCCACTTCCTCAGGGAAAGGTGCTGCCGCGGCTTTCCCGGGATGCACTGATCCGAAAGCGCTTTTGGAAACCCTTCTGCGAACTGCTGCTGCTGCAAGCGGCTGCTCCTGCGTAACCCAGCCACCAGACCACCGAGGGAGGGAGTGGGAAGGGAGGGAAGAACGCGTGAGGGGGGGGGGGAGAGGAAAAGCAAGTGGCGATACCAGGGACAGAGTCAGCAGCATCCTATTTTCCTGGAGGCAGTAGCATGGCTACTCAGTGTGCGGTGCGGAGTGACTGAGATTATGCAGTGTGCCCTTCTTGTCCTCCTTATGGATCGTGAACACCAGTACTTTGGGGGAGCTACAAGCAAGGAGCCTTGCATTGTTAATAGTTCAAACTAAGAAAGAGCTCAAGGCATTCAGTCCTTTCATTCATCCCTGTGTGGGGAGGGAGGAGGATTTGTGGGCATGTTTGTGTGCGAGAAAGATTTGTGAGTGTGGATGTTTGTGCGTGGGAATATTGGTAAGTGTAAATATGTGTGATATAAATATTGCGTTTCTATTAATATAAATTAAATTATGTTTATATTCGTTTAAAAATCGGTGAACATATTTCCTTCAAAAAAGCCCTTGTCTTATTTGACTTGTTTGTGCCTGAAAATCATACTCGCACTCTATACTTAACGATGCCTTGTTGGGTATTTTCCTTATTGGCTTTCTGCAAACAGCCTGTGAATGTAGAATGGGAGGACGTGAGTACCTCTGTGGGGAGTAGGGTGACCAGACAGCAAGTGTGAAAAATTAGGACGGGGTGGAGGAAATAGGAATCTATATAAGACAAAGACCCAGAAATTGAGACTGCTCCTATAAAATCGGGACATCTGATCACCCTAGTAGGGAGCCCTTTGCTGTGGTCATTTCTCCCGAGGGAGACCCAAGGAGGCGCACATGGTCACCTTTCCATGGGAACGTGCGGCTTCGCTGAGCGTATAGGAGCCGCAAATAACACATGCGACTCGTGTGCCTCCTGCAGCATCAGCTGCGAGACAGAGCGCCGAGCACATCCACCGAGACAGATGGAAGGGGGTTATTTTTACGGACACGTGGGGAAGCACATTTACTTGCTAAATTGATGCCTGTGCATAAGTGATTGAAAACATAGTCATGGATCTTAACACGTGAATACAGCTTTCATCCCCTAACCGGGGGCTGATTGAAGGCGATTTCAAAAACTAATGAATGAGATTTTCACTGAAAAACACACCGCCAAATCCTTAATCAAATGAGAGAGAGACTTCAAACACTGCCAGAAAACTAATCCCCAATGAACAGCCCCCTCCAGAATGCGGACTTGAATTGTGTGGGTATAAAGCAGCACGCCAATTATGGAGACCCGTGCAAATGAGCGTGTGTGGAAAGGGGCAGAAGAGATTTCTGTGCTGTAAGAGCTGATTTACCCTCCGCCCCCTTCTGCTGCAGGCATCAGGGAGGTTAAAACAGGCTCACCGGAATGTACAGGGGCTGTGACTGTCAGAAAGAGAAAAGAAATCTAATCACCTGTCCAGAGAAAGGAAACAGACAAAGGAAGTGACCCGGTGTCTGTCCTAGATTATGCTGCATTTAGCACAGTGAGTGAAATCCGCCTGCTAGCGCCGTTTATTTTTCGGGTGTACTGCGCCCAGTGAAGTTTCATTCTGCCTTGGCTCCGTAAGATGCCTGCGTTTCATTGAGAAACCGCGCATCGTGAGCTGCAGAAACTTGTCAATCGAGAGCAAAGGCACTGGGAGGGGGTCTTCTGTGCGCAGGCGCGAAATACACGTCTGAGCCGCTCCGTTTTCCCGCATGCCCCTAAGCTTCTGACTGGGTCTCCTGCAGGGGGGCGACAGGGGTCTACTGCGTAGCCCAGGCCCGGGCAGGGGGTATTGCTCAGGATCAGACAGACCATCTTCTGAACCCGCTGGCTTTATGCTCCCTGTTGAAAAGGGGTGCAAAAGGGGGACAGAGAGAGGGGTTGAATTGGAGGGGTGGGGTGAGCAGAAATTGTGCCGAAGGCCAAACTGTGTCTAGAGGAAGGTAAAAGGGATGGAGGGAGGGCGAGGGGAGGGGCAGATAAACAAAATTGGGGACAGGTGCAAGTGGGAGATGGGCTGCCAGGTAATGTCAGGGGAAGGGAAACTCTTGGAGAGGGAGGGGACCGGGAAAGGATACAAGAAGTTATCTGCAGTGATTGCCAAAGTAGGGTTTGTGGGTGGCAGAGAGACTTCAGTTTTTCCAGGATGGTCCATGTCAGCACCCTCTCCCCATGGCTGTGGTGTTAAGGGCACAGTGTAGCCTGTGACAGACTGACAATGTCCTGTAGGATTCTGGGCAAACCTTATGGAACTAAGACAAATCTTATTGAATTAGGTTTAGTACCTTTTGGGAACCATTGTATTAAAAATGCAATTGTGTGCATGTGTATGTACATTGTGTGCAATGCCTCTAGCAGGAGGGGGTTGCTAATGTAATTCCTCTAGCTACCGGCCCTTTGAAGCCACCCTTAGGGAGAGGTACACAAATACTAGTTCAGACTGGATTCGCCAGAGCCCAACAGACAAAGAAAGGATTTTTGAATAAATAGCTTGGTTTTAAACAGGCTCATGGCTTTCTTCCTGATCCAGCAAACTGATGGGACACCTGGACCACTGAGGGGAAATAGAGGTCCAGTTGCCCTGAATGTAGCCAATGCCTGGAGCCCAGAGCCATGAAGCCTTTTGAGGATATGTGCTCCAGGAGACTTGGCTCAGTGTAATAATATTTTACTTACACACCATCACGAAAAGTTCATAATCTTCATACATGTGTTTGATGTTTCAAAGTATTCCTTGTCCGTTTTCATAGGAATAACATGTCTGTATATAGCTTTATAGCATTTCACAAATTTGTCTTCTCTTTTGATTGACTGAATTGAACTCATCTTAATTGACCCAGCTGATCACCTATCAGTGTTTTGTAGTATAGCACTTTGTTTTTTGTAATTTTCCATATTTATTGCTACAGTTTACTCTTTCTTCAGTTTCCTTTGATCCTCCAGTGAGGACTGCTTTTCTCGACTGTATTTTGCCCTCTTTTTTTCCATGTCATCACTTGTATGTAGAACTTACTTCTCAAATATTCACTGAGGATGCTACTCTATCTTATATGAAATCCCTCTCAAAGGCATGCTTCTATTGTAATTTTTACTGAACGTAGATATGAATTATTCACGAGTATGAAAAAATCGTGTTATGCAACAAAAAATTCTAACTTGATACATTTCAGTTTGGTTTTCATTCTGACAAGTTTACTTTTTGGTCTGCCATAATCAATACAGATTTTTTAACATAAAATATTTTATTTCTTTGACATGGGCTCAGAAACCCATTTCTATTGCTCTATGACAGTATTTAACATCATGTGTCTATATTGAATGCAGGAGTTAACAGCTCCAGCAAGCCCTGTTCAAAACAACCCCTGATGGAAGTGTAAGCCATGCTGCCATGATGTTCAACCCTCTCTCCGTCCCCTCTCCCAAGCCGAGTGAGGACAAGGAATGTCCACAGACATTGATAAATTGAGACAAAGTTAATTGTTTGGTTTGTTTGCTGTTCGAAAATTATGTTGCTCATTTAAGATGTAGCCTGCACTCACATGTCACTGCCCATTGAACATCAACAGTAATATGTGTGTATGTGGGTCTTCTGCAAGTTGACATACAACTCACAATTTCACTTCATGTACTTATCCCTTTTATGGCTTATTTTATAGTATGGGTTTTTGCTTCAATGTTACATAAAAATGTCTATTTTATTTGCTGTCAAGTTTTTTTCTCCAGTGAGTGGTGTTTTGATATGATTTTGGATATAGATCAACATTGCATTATTGATGCCATTTCAGGATGTATCCCTGACAAATGACAAAATCATTATAAATAATCGTGCGCCTTACAGTTTTGTTTTCTATACATAATAGTGTAATAAAACACATTCACTTACCTTACTGTTTTGTTTTGTAATGCACTGTAAATGGGTACATTGTCTAATATACTCATTTACCGTAACTTATTCATTTACCTCTCACTGCAGTGTTGGGCATGGAACTGAACACTAACCAGTAAGGTACATGAGTACCCTAAATACTCTGCTCATTTACTTCGTGTGCACCATCAAGTAAGATAAAGAATAGAAAAAGGCCTGTTACAATTTCTCAAATGACTTTCCAGTCTCTGATTGATTTTACCGGATGC